ACTGAAGGCTGGTTTTGGTGATGTTTCTTTTTTCTTGTTTGAGTGGTCATAATGATCACTCAGATCTTTTACAGAATCAAAGATACTGTAGCCATGTTAGAAAAAATCCCATCAACGTAGGTGAAAATGGCTTGTTGCTTCTGAGCATTTTTTAATCAGAGAAAATACCTTCTGAAAATCAACTTGATTTTCCTGTCATTGTGCTCTACTGTTCTCTACTGCAGGTGTGGATATCCTGTATTAAATGATGTAATCTAGAACAGTACTGGTTCCCAGCAACCCAAATGGTGTGTGTTTGCCTCTGATAACTGCAGTATATTTAACATCACATATTCAAAGATAATTGAGGAGTCCTCTACTTTCAATGCAGAGTAAGATGGATTAGGTCATTCTCTGTTAAGGGTATAATGCTGACGTTGCCACTTAGCTAAACACAAAAGGTTTCATGATGACATTGTGGTTTAGGTTACTGTAAAAAAGCAGAAAACTTTAAAAGCAGAGACCAAGGACAAGGGTTGCAGTCACACTATAAAAGCTGATCCGTTATGTAATGTTGGGATGAAAAGCAGCAGGGAGAAGCTGGATTTCCAGAGTCCAGCTGCTTCCTTGTGTGCAGTGCTCTAGACATTGCAGGAAATAATTAACATTAATGCGTATTTAGAATAATGCCTACTATTTCCAAGTGTATAAAAGGGCTGGACACTTTGTTTCATATTCATTGAAGGCCACATATGTGGGCTTTTTTTTTTGGTACTTGTTGTTGTCTTTATCAATAGCTTTACCCAGAGAATCCAAACATAGATCTTCCTTTCCTCCTTCAAGAGGCTCATTCAGGAGCTGACCTGTCCCCATAGGCTGTATCAGGTGAGAAGACTAAGTTCGCCATCTTTTGCTGCTTTTAAGGTTTAGGTTACTTTGTGTAGGTGTGAAAGTTCAAAACATGGACTAGTCTGCCTGTACAGCTGCATGTGTTGTAATTCTTTACTAGCACTAGGTGACAACAATGTTCTAGAATATGTCAGTCTTCTCAGGCTTGAGAAAATCTCAAAGGTCAAATAAGAATGTTTGCTAATTAAGCAGAAAAAATGTTTTCTTCTGTATATTCATATGTCAGTAGTAGATTCAAAATTACTTTAATTATAATTTCTATTTGTTGCATCAATATTACTTTCCAAGGAAGTGACTAAAACTACCATTTGGTATTTTCTCCACATAGTTTCTGCTAGGAACGTTGTTCCAATTGGCTGTTTTGAATTCTAGTGGTCAAATTTGGTGACAGTATAAACCCCAAGGATTTGGGCTTTTTCCTGTTTAATCTTTGTTGCTGGAATGGTGTTTGGTTGATGTCTTTCTCCTTTCCATTATAGTTGTGAGCTACAGACACCATAAGTATAACTGTACTTTGCATGAAATCTCTGGCAAGGAGTATCAGTCACAATACTGGCAACAGAATTATTTAATGTCCTTGGTTACTAAATATATGAAAATGATGTAACACATGAAAAGATTTATTAGTGAAGCTCATGTAATCTGTCTCTGCAGTCCATGCTTCTAACCTGATTTAATTTTAAACATACAAAAGAGGCCTACATGTTTTAAAGGTCATGGTATGTGTATTTCTGTCAAAGTGGATCATTATAGAAAATTCGTGCTTTTTTCTCCCCATGCCTTTAGTCTCTTTGGGTTGTAATTTCTGTTAAAGGTGGAGATTAATAAACTTGTTTTGTTCCATTATTGTAAGGTGAAACAGGCATGAATTTCTTGTGATTCTGAGCTTTCTGCCTAGGTCTTGTACTCAATTATCTGCTTGGGCCACACTGTCTGTAATCTTATCATTTACATGTTGTTCCCTGTATAGCCTGGCAGCTTGAGTCCAGTTTTGCTAGTTTAACTATTCGTGATAGGATATGCTGAAAAGTGGATTTAGAATGTGCTTCTACTGACAGGCAGGTCTTTCCTGTGGTTCTTTGCAGGGATCTTTGGAATGTAATGATTCTTTTTATTCTGTAGGATGACAAATCTAACTGAAGTTGTGGATTTAAAAAATTGCATGTCTGTTCCTAGTAGCCCTTTGATGCTTTTCTTACACTTGCAGACTAAGTGGTTCAGCAGGCATAATATCTCTCAGCCAAAGAAACTAAGCATATGGCATCTGAAGTGAAAGAGTGATAAAGCATGGTGAGGCTGCCAAGCAGAAAGATACTGCTATAGTGACAAAGCATGTGGCAGCACTCAGGGCTTTCAGAGAGATAATGTAGCTGCAACGCTCTTGATTTCTAAGGAAGAAATTGCTGGAAACATGATGCAGTATTATCTCAACAAGGCGGACTTGGACTAGGCTAGGTGTGTCGTTGCTTCCACGGTTGCAGGAACAATTTGACTGCATTTAAAGTGCTATTTATAGCCTTGCCTAAAAAAAATAATAAAAAAATTACAGAAGTTGCTTCTTTTCTCGGTTTCAGTGTGTGCTTTCAGTTCAGTGGTAATGAAGTGCATGTTTCCGTAGTGAGATGTGGTCTGTCTATTCCTTGATTGCAGTGGTTAGTGATGCAGGTAAACTAACCCAAGTCACCACATCTGATACTTGTGCACAAGCACACCTGAAGCAAGTTGGTGGGGAGTAAAAACTGATAATTCTATATGAGTAGCCTTTTTCGTAGGTTCATGTGTGGGTCAGGGTGATAGCACTGGCTTTGAAATTTGTATGAATTAGATGTCATTTTTGGTCTGAAGCTTTGATTTCATGAAGATGAATTATCAAAGCTTAATTTAAACAAGGGATTTTCATATGCTAGTGATGACAAATACATTTGCTTTGGCATGCCTTTTTTTAGGGTCTTCACTTTGTTGTTGTTAATGGGCTTTTGGCCTCCTGTCCATACATAGTATTTTTATTATCAGAGATTTTGGTCCTGCTCCATGAACTGTAAAAAATGAGAACACTGCCATGTTTTAGAATAAAGACTGAGATTTGGGGATTTTTTTTTTTTTTTTTTTTTAAGAAAGACTTGATAGTTTCCTCTTGAAGGCCACAGAGTGGAAAGTGAGCTAAATTAGCTCAGGTTATGTGTCTGGGTATATTTAATATCTTCTGTTGGTTTTAAAATAAACTTACTGTTTAGTTCTAATGTATCTGGGCTCTTTTTTTTTTTGAGGAACAGCCACCAGCAGTGAAAATTACGCAGGACTTCGTAAAGTCTGTGAACCTTTTTCTTGCAGTAAAAGGCTGCTTGGATCTGCCTTGAACAACCTCAGATGTGTTCAGTTATTTTCTGTAGAAGAAAGTCTGTCCTCCCCACAGAAGCATGGAGTGAAAGGTCATTCAGGGTTGGAGTTCATATAGCTTAGACAACAGGGAGAATAAAATATTCAGTGTTATTTAAAACAAGCATTCTAACATGAGTTTAACATGCACTCTAAGAAATAGATGCAAGGGGTGCCATGCAGAAGCAGATCAGGTCCTCTTCAGGTTGAGTAATCGCCCTTTAATTTTTGCGATATCATTGCTGAGAAGTGGAACCTCGTGGTAGCATGTGTGCCACGAGGGGCATAGCCCCTTCGGGAAGGGGCCTGTGGGCAGCGGGCTCCCTCTGCAGCTCCTTGGTGCCAGCACTCCCCAGGAGGTGCGGGCGCCGTGTGAGGTTGGGGTGTTTTGGATGATTTTGAGGGAATGGAGTCGCCCTCCAGCTATGGAACCTTGCTGAAGCGTACGCAATGTACTCCTAGCAGCTTTGGAAATCTTCTGGTGGCTGCTGCCAGCTGGGGGCTTGGGATGAGATACAGGCTGTCCCAGCTCCCCGAGGCTGGAAAGCTGACATGCTTCCGAAGTGATGTATTTCCTCTGTTTTGAGTGGCATGCACCCATCTTTTTTACAGGCTTAGAGACCCTGTGTTCAACCAGTTCAAACTTTGTGCTCCTTGGCGTTCCAAACCAATGCATTGTTCAGCCAAATCATGTTGCTAGAAGTGCTGCATTTCCAGGTTTTGTACAGTATTTCAGTCCTTAAGTTATTCAGAGTTTTAGACTTTTTGAATGTCTAAATCTCGAAGTGGAGCAACTGATACCAAACAGAAACATAGCAAGGTTTACTTTGGAGAATGATGTCATTACTGTTAGTAATCAATTACTAATTATGGTATGTCTATTTATTGAAAGTATTTAACCAATATGGATATATTTTCTTTAAATATCTTGGGTCTACTACACAGAAAAACATCTCATGACACTGTTATATGATTGGTGTACTGCAGATGACAAGAAAATTTTAAATTATCTGGAGTTATATTTTAACACCTCACTTTTTGTTCTGTTATTATTATTATTGTATTTGTTTATAAGATCTTATGTTGCTAAAAACATGAGCTGTGCTTGCAGTGCCTTAGTGCAGCAACTCTGATTTCTGGAGTCTCTATGTGCTGGCATAGTATTATGTAGTATGTAAACTTTGAAACCTGCCTGACATCTTTGTTGCCCTGATGGTGAAAAAGCAGAAGGAAGTAAAACAACAACCCAACCCTCTAAAAACTAATAAACCCCCACCATAAAACAGAACCCTGAATGTTGTAAAGGCTTATAGAGAAGAAGGAAAACCAAGGAAAAGTCAGGTACCCCTATAAAGCAGAAAAAGAATGGTGTGAAAGTTGCTGCAATTTTCATGTTCAAGCTCTTCTTTCGGTAGAGGGCAGTACTAGTTCAGTTTCCTTTAGAGTCCGCTACATGCATAGTCATAGGCAGTTTATGATTGCACTAAGCTGTTCTCAGTAGAAGCGTTTAGGAGTGGCTGAATGAGGACATTTAGTTGATTTTGTTTGTAATAGATGGTTGGAGGAGGATTGTGAATAGCTTTCAGAATATCCGTGTAAAATTACAGTCAATCTAGTATCACAAGTTTTAAGTTCTCTTAGTAATTTTTCTACTTTCGATGGCAGGGTTGCTGTATTCTTTGTTTGTTTGCTCCTTGGCCAGATAACTCTGTCTGTGATTCCCTGTTTTCCTGCTTATGCATGGAGCAAGTCCAGTGCACAGGAGACAGCAAACCTGGCAACAGCAAGATCTGCTTTGGACTGCTGTGTATGTTATATATATTTGCTGATTCACTGCAGGATGACTGTTGCCACAAAACAAATCCAGCTTTTCAGTTTATTGGTAATCCCCCACTGCCAGTTTTTCTACTGGGGTAGGATGCATTTAAGAGCCTATTTTACCATGTTGTGACTAATGAGAAAATGTAAATGATGACAAAGTGTAAATGTCAAATGGTATTAATTGTAAGCTCCATTTGAAGTCCTTTTCCGTATTTGTATATTACAGGCTTCTTCCACAAGGTGGAGCTTTAAGGCTCTGTAGCTGGGATTTTTTTCCCCTCTTGTCTAATAAGCAGAAAGATGAATGGAGCTCATGAAATATCTTAAAACAGGCATAAAACGACAATTTCAGTGCTTTTCAAGAAAGTGGGTAGGTTTTAGGAAAAAAACCCCACCAGACTCAACAGATATTTTTGACTCTTTAACGTAGCCAAGTTACTGGAATTAACGTTATAAAGAGGAAAAGAAGGATTGGTAATAGTAGTTCTCATTACTTATTTATTCTGTTGGAATTAATGTTTCTTTGCTTTCAAACTGATTTGAAAGGCAGGCAGGACTAGATAGACAAAAGCAGTATGAAAATGCTTGCTAAATCTTCACTTATTGGGAGGAGAAGGTTTGTTGTTTTTTTAACAGTCCTACCCTAAAAGAAGAGGAAACTTTAGATAAGAGCTATTCTGATAGTTAAAAGAAAGGCAGAAAGCATATATCTTTCTTTTGCACAGCTGTCTTTTCAAGAATGAGCTATGTATACCCTTTCTCTGGAAGACAACCGCTGTGTGTTTTTCACTCTGCCTGCCAGAAATTGCATCTTGCTGAATTCCGGAAAAGTGCCACCAGTATTTCAGGCCGTGTTTCTGTAATCAGTTCTCTTGGGCTTCCCATGTTTCTTTGAGTATCCGAACTATTGCCATCTTGTCGGAAATCCCCTGCTGTTAATTTTGTTGTAATGGAATTCTTCATCTGCACGCTATGCTCCTGCTGGTAAGACAATTTCATGTATTAACTAGCACCGGCGTGTGTGGACATGAGCTGGTACTGTGCAGACAAAACCTGGGAAAGAGCTTAACTGGAGAGGGGGAAGGGGGACTGGATTGGGGAGGGAGGGTAGCAGCAGGGAGGGAAAACCCGAAATCTTGAGTCTTTCCTGTCCAGCTTTTCTGCCTAAAGCTAGTCTTTTCTGATGGTAACAAATGTTAGTGAATGTTTGCTGCATCTCTTTGAAACAAAACTTGTGGATAGAAGCAGGTTTACTGGGCACTTGTTACAAGTACTCTTTCCCTCTCACCTTTCTTCATTAAACTCATGTTTCTCTCAAAATGTTTAGACCAAGAGACTTTATTAGAACTTTCTGCAGGGTCTGTGTTACCACTTAATGCTTGACTTGAGTTGCAGTTGAAGGTTGTGAAACATCTCCTGAAATTATTTGTGTTGTTTCTTTCTTGCTTTGCAGGTGGTGTGTTAGTATGCAAGAGATAAGAAATTGGTTATGATTTTTTTCATAATATTATGAAAATTATATTAAAATGTGTACTATATTTTTTGTGGTTTAGGAGTCTCCCTAGTTAACAAGTAGGAACAGTAACAACTTGGAACAGTATTTGCATATCAGAAATCCACTTTCTCCCTTTTATTGCTAAGCCCCATCTGATGGCCCTCTCAGAAAATAGCACATATCAAATGCAATGAAAAGCAGGTGTTCTTTATGCCTAACTAAAATGAGTTAAGAGCCAATCTGGACAGAGAGTCTACCACTGATTTCTAGGCTCCATATAGGCCAGTGACTGAAGCAGTCTGTAATGCTTCTGCTTCTTAATGGATCTGCTGCAGATCCAAGTTAAGAGCTCTTCTTTAAACTTCAGTTTCCCTCAGATGCTATCAGAGTCTTGGCATGTTAAGAACTGTCTGGAATGTCTTTTTCTTTTGGTTCCTTTTTTTTTTTTTTTTTCTTTTTCCCCCAGATATTCTTGTCATGCAGTATGTTAAAGTATCTGTTTGTTACTAGGTAAGTAGATATATCTGTTGGTATAGGAGATGCGGTAGGCCATTTGGACAGTTTCATGAAGAGCCCTTCCCCATAATATAACCTTAAGTTAGATTTCTGAACCACAACCTCAGAATACAAGTAATATGAGTAGGGTATTTGAATGAGCTTGAAATCATGTTGGGTTTTTTTCCCCAGGTCTTGAGGGACATATGGTTGTATATGGGCAAGAATTCTTGCCCTTCCTTCTGCTGCTTCTGCCAGTGTGGATTTCCAGTTTCCAAGGCCTCTAAGTACTCCACCCCTTCTGTGGGTGAAAAATACCTTTCCTTTCTGAAAGCAATAGCAGTATCAGTTATTTAGAAGTATTGTAGATACAAGCTTTTGCATAATCTCTAAATTTTGTAACAGTGAGTGGTTCTACAGCAGCTGGTTCCAAATTCCAATGACTGTCTAGAGAGTTGGATAAAGAATTACTCCTTTCCCACACAGCTTTACAGAAACAGTGATTTTGACAGGGAGTTTCAGGGTAAATGGTGATAATAAAACTAAGAATAGTGATGGTATATGTACTAGGGATAAATATTTATTTTTACATTACACTGGCCAATGCTCTATTGACAAAATCATCCTGAGCAGATGGTTTGGAGGCATTCCTCTGCTGGTAACAGAATATGGCTATCTTAGAGCAAAGATTTTCTTAGCACTTACTAGCCAAAAGATTATAGTTGCTTTATTTAAACAAACTTTGGCATGAAGATATCAAAATAGCAGCCTAAACCAGATGCTTCCAGGCAATACATGTGGGAAGGGGATAAGTGTAGCCTTATCACCCTTAGAGAATGAAATAGGCACTTGCTTACTGTTTGGATTCCCCTTATGGTCCCTTTTAATTGCAAACCCTATTTTCAGAAGAATGTGAAATAAAATACAGTGTATTTAGCTTTAAATCAGGGTGAAAAAATCTCAGTGCAGCTTACAAAGAGAGAAGAGAGATACAATGATTTTTTGGATGATAGTGGGAAATGTCATGACAGGGAAGGTAAATGCTGTCAATAATAAAGCTGCTGTGGCTTCAGCATCTGTGTGGTTTTTTTTTTCAAGTTTAGTAATCTATAGGATTACCATATCTTCTGTATCGTTTATCTTAAGCTATTTTTCATGTTGCTGGTAGACCCAGATGCTCATAAAACTTTACGAATATAAACTTTACCCTTTTGTTCCTGCTTGTAGTGCAGTCTTGTCCTGGGCTAATACCATTGGTTTACAGTTGTTCATACTGAATTCTAAGATAATTCTTTTCTGCAAGGCAAGGAAAGAATGTTCATTACACATTAAGTGCTCGAATGTTGTTAGCTTTAAAATCGAATTGAAAATAGATATGTGAAAGAAATGCTTAATTTCTAGTGCAGCAGCCCCTTTTTCATTACTGCACCATAAAAAGTGCAAAACTTATTGTCTATTCACTTACCTCAAAGGTTATTAAAGCTTAGCTGTAACTGATGGACCAAAGAGATGCATTTCCTATCCTACTTTAATGGCAACAATATGTAGAACTTAACAGATAAAGCAGTTATCATCTTCATTAATTGTAATACATGTTCATTCATATTTGTTTTTTTTCCCTATTAGCGTATCCTGCCAGATGATTGTCTTTTCAGGTATTACTGCAGTTGCTATCTTTTCCCTTCCACTTTCCCTCATTCACTTTGCTTCCTTGGCCTTCTTTGTGTACTTAAATTTTCTTCTAGTTTTTCTTCAAAGTGTGACTAATTGTGTGAGTTTTAAAAGGATTATTGTGTATCCTCCCCCCTCCCCCCCTTTTTTTTTTCTTTTCGTTTTTTTTTTCTTTTTTTCCTTCTTATTTCCATTCCACACATTCATAGTCTTAGAGTATGAAAGCTCAGTGCCAAGGACATATGATGTGGCTTCAGATCAGAGGCCAGATATCTCAAACTATACTTGCTGGATTTGGATCGACTCTGTGAACCACCCTCGCAAGTGTCTTGAGTGTGTGGTTAGTAAACCATTGACTTAAGTAAATCAAGTCCATCTTTCCAGTGGTAAGGAAATGGGTGTCTCCGATCATAATGGGGTAGTTTGTCTCCTTATGTTGCATTGACTCTATAGCTGATGGACATATTTTTCTGTAATTATCTGGCTCACTCCACCTATGTTAGCTAGCTCCTATTATCAAAGGTTTCTAGGTGGTCTATAACTCATTTCAGTTTTAAATAACAATTTCTGGGTCAGATTTTCAGTTCATGGAATTAGCTGATGTTCTAGTAGTAGCCAGCCATTTGTTGTGCTGTATAAATTGAATTTAAATAATTTCTGATGAAGGTACACCCTTTTAATCTGTTAAGAAACTAAAGGGAGGAGATAAAACAGAAACTTAAAACCAGTTAATCAGCTATAGCTATTACACAGTAAATGACTGTAAATCATACAGTGGATATTTCATAACAGCGGATAAATCTCCATTAGACAATCCTAAATGCTTGTGGGTGGAGCTATGAATATCATTATGGAGTTAGTGTATTACCCTAACAAGCAAACAGATCACACCCCTTAAATGAAAGGATTGATCTGAAAAGTGTTTGAAGTTATTTGAAATTAATTAGGAGTCTTTTATACATTTCTCTGGAAAAGATTGGTTTCTAACAATGTAAAATTATATATAAAAAAAAATAAAAATAGAGTATACATGATAAAAAATCTGTCCAGGCTATCTCATATAGCTTACTTGTACTATTTGGTTTTCAAACTACCCTATAAAGGAGTGGTGAATTTTCTTTAAGTAGTTTCTTGTATTATTTTTTTTTGGTCAAAAAGAGACCAAAGGTATCTTCTCACAGTCAGTATTGTGACAAATGTAAATGATAGAAAGGACCAAATAAGCTATTCAACTAACTTTTAAAATCAATAGTAAGCCTAGAGAACAAGAATTTGACTGAAAAAACAGCATTGCAAATACAGTAGTGGCACTGCAATGCATAATATTGCCTCTAGATTGTGTTGCTTTTCCCACCAAGCAAGATGCATTTTTTTAATTGTTATTATTATCAACCTTCAGAGACCATGCTTTGCCTAATTTTTCCCAGCACTTTACTGTTCTGATCATTTCTTTTGAGGTGCTGGATTTTTAAGGTACTACCTGAAATTGATGTTTTCTGTGCTGCTGAAGCTTTTCTGTAACTTCTTTTTGTAGCCCAGTTGGGTTTTACTAAAGTTCTGCAATTTTTTTTTTTCTCTTGCAGTTCATTTCCTAAATTAATCTTTCCAGCCAAGAGCTACATAAGAATCTTCCTGATAGCTTTAGTCTTTAAATGGGGAACTGTCTTTGCTTACTAAATTAGGTTTTAGAGTAATTTATACCTAAATATGTTGTACTCTCAAGTATCCAGCATTATTTCAGTTTTAAATCCTCTTGGGTCTTCGAAGGGTTTTTTTGTTTTGTTTTTAGTGGGTTTTTTTTTTTTTTTTGCATTTACCTGTATGATAAATAATGTTATACTCTTTGGTATGAATAGGGTTAAAGAAATCTTGTCGACATCTTACTGAAACTCACAAAACTGTTGTTCAGTGAAGCCTCAGTTGGAAACAGGTTTTGTTTTTTTTTTTGCCTTAACTTTCTACGTACTTTGGCAAAACTTTTACTTTGTCAAACTAAAACAATCAGTAATTCTCTGAAGCTTGTACATGAATGACAGTGTTGGTGATAACACTGTGTTGGTCTTTGTGACTGTACATTGGCCTGATTCTGTTGTCTTAGTGCAGAGATAAGAATGACTGATTTTCTGGGAGAGTCATAGTTTGAAAATAGTTCGTTGTAGGGTGATGGTCTTTATTGAATTTGAGTATATAAACTACTGTTCTCCTGTCATGTCAGGAAATCTGTTGCAGGTGACAGGGATCAATATGACCGAAACCTACCACTCTACCTTATTCTTCTGCATCTGCTTGTCAAAATAGCATCTGCTTTGTATGTAGTAAAACT